CCCCCACCCTCAACCTTGTCTTTTGGAGCAGAGGCTGGCAAACATTTTCTGGAAAAGGCCAGATATTAAATATTTCGGGTTTTGTGGGCCATATGAGGTTTCTGTTACCTATTCTGTTTTTAAACAACCTTTTAAAATGTAAAAAACATTCTTAGTTTGTGAGCGGTTAAAAAAAAAAAAACAAAAAAAAAAACAGGCCACAGGCTAGATTTGGTCCAAGAATCAGTTTGCTGACTCCTGCTTTAGAGGACTTCATATATCACAAACACAAAAATAAACGGTAAATGTATTGAAGAACACATGGGTGTCTCTGCCACTCGGGATCCCATGCTCAATGCAGGCACAGCGTGACCCATATCCCTAAACATCCTCTCTCACTGCTAACACTGCTCAAGCCCTAGGGAGATTATTTCCCATAACTCTTACCCAGGGTCCTCAAAACACAAGGTAACTGCTCCTGAATGTGGTGAAGCTTTGTGCCATTTGCGGTGTCGGAGGCAGACGCGTCATTAGAACACGGGAAGGATTTGAGCAGCAGAAGGGCTTAGGTAGGAAAAGAGACAAATAGATTTGTCATATCTTTCTTCTTGGATAGTCTTAGATAGACAAGAGAGTCTTACACAAGGAATTACAGTCCTTGGTAGGTCTGAGTGGAAGGGAAATCCCGCCCCTAGCAGAGCAGGGTGAGGAAACTCTGCTTCTTCTTTGCTTAGTTTTAATTTGGATTTGCCAAAGTCAAGTGTAGGTTCCCCAGGGAAGAACAAAAATCAGCAAACAACAACAACAACAACAACAAAACACATGCACAAAATGAAGAACAAACAAACCGGTGAAGCCCCACAAATTACATGTGTTCTGTGAGTCATTCTATGGATGGCCTAGTCTAGCTAGGCTGCGTTGAAGAAGGGCTTACTGACTCGGGAAAGGTGATGCCACACGCGGCCTTCTGAGATCGGCCAATCAACCTGGCAAAAACCCAGGGCCCGCCAGCTTGACGAGTGAAATTTTTAGGAGTATCTCGGTCTGGAACTACATGAAACTGTTCTTTAAAGATGAAAAAGCTCTGTTAACTCAGGGTCTGCCCTGACATGAAAAGGAGACATAAGGGCTCGATGCGATTATTGGAGAACACCACACCTGGGAGCTCTTGTGGACTGTCAGCCCGAGCATGTGTGAAAAGGCTGCTTTTCAAAGGGACTGAGAACAGCAGAAGGTTCTGGCAGAAATGCACGAGATAAAGCTCAGATGGATCTGCTGTGCCCTTACAAGCACACCGTTCCCCGAGGTATATGAGAAGGGTCAGTGATGGAGTCCACGCTGCGTGACAGCTGACGCTGTCAGAAGCCAGGTGCTTCGGCCCCGCCACGGGGCTCCTGTGAGGCTGCGGCAGCTGCTCAAACTGCCCTCCACGTGAAGGGCTGTTACTCACCAGCCTGGTGCTGGGCACCGTTTGGAATTAGACCGTTAGTGAATGGCACCCAAACCTCCAATGTGGTCACTAGGGCCCATGAGATGACACCTTGGGCCACAAGGCATGCACACATGGGCGCACAAACAATATAATCCCCATGTCCACCTGAAGTCACTTACATCACCGGAATGGCCCAGATGGCCAATGGCAATGAGCACAAGGGCCTCCGGTGGGAGAATATGAGGGTATATGGCCCATCATAGAGCTGGGAGGTTGCCTATGCTGGACCCTTCACAGGGCATGGGAGGTTTTAATATTGTTAAAAACTGGTATTGACGGTGTTTCTGGTTTGAGCTTTGCCTATTCTGCAGCTGAAGCCCCGGCCCAGACTACTGTAGGAAGATCGGCAACCCAAATTGCCCGCTCACAACGAATATCAACTTATACATCATACAGCTCAAGAATCACTTTTCAGAGCATGAACACGACAGGAGTGGACCAAGAAACACAATATCAAGTGATCTTTTCATATTTCACATCACTTGGCAAAAGCAGTGAAATTATTGGAAAATGAGAACGTGTGCTTGAAGCAACCAGATGCGGGTGACAAAGGCACAGAGCGTGGGCTTTCCAGGGTGGGACAGCGTAACATCAAGCTAACCAGGCTGAGAAAAGAAGCGGGGTAAAGAAATCCTCTTTTCTCGGGATTAGGGATTTGGCTGTGTTCCCTAAGATGGGAGAAATAGAAACCAACTTAATTGGACTTATTGGAATTCTGGTGTTATTTATGGGCCAGACTGGAAAGTCTGGTGTGTTCAGGATACATTCCATCCAATGGAGAGGACCCGGTGACAATATACCTATTAAATCATTTGAAAGTTCCATGGACAAGGGCACACACGAAGGTTTAACAACATTACTTTTGCTGTCTGCTCTCTGAAGGAGATCAGAGGAGGACTCAAAACCCCCTCTTTCCATAGGAGCCAGGGACGGGGCTAAGAAGAGATCCCAGTGGGGAAAAAGAAAGATGGCTGCAGGAAGAACTAGAGCCACCAAACAAATTACTGTCTCAATTGATGCCACTTTTGCCCTTTATATTTAAAACAAATCGAAAATAAGAAAACGATTTCTTAGCAGTATTTCAGATAAATCTTCAGTCTGAGATGAGGGACGCTGGCATCAGAATTGTTTCTACTAAACTGAAGGCATCTAGTAAAACTGGATGCAGCATGTACTGGGCTGTACTGGATGGACCATGAGGAGCGAGCATCGTGAACGTGGCTGGCACATTAGGACACGTTCTGTTGCTTGAACTTTTGTGTAAGATTAAAATGGGTCGCGGACTCAGAGAAAGACAAATGTCATATGACTTCACTTATATGTGGAATCTAGAGAACAGGATAAATGAACAAACAAAAGAGAAACAAGCTCATAGGTACAGAGAGCATTTTGATGGTTGCCAGATTGGGGGGGCTGGGGGGGCGGGAGATGAGTGAAGGGGGAGGGGTTTAAGAGGTACAAATTGTTAGTTACAAAACAGTCGTGGGGATGTAGAGTACAGCATGGGGAATATAGTGAGTAGTATTGTAATAACTGTGTATAGTGTCAGATGGGTACTAGATGTACCGGGGCGATCGCTTAGTAAGTTATAAAAAGGTCTAGTCACTGTGTCGTACACCTGAAACTAATATAATATTGTATGGCAACTGTAATTGACAAAAAATTTTTTAAATAATTTAAAAAATGGGTCGTGGACTAATTATGAGTTCATAGGGGACAAAAGATAAACCTAGAGCAATAGGACCCAACGTATGGTAGTAGTATGCATTGAAGTGTCTTGTCGATTTTATTCCTTCTCGTTGGTCAAATACGGGTAAGAATAGGAATCGTGTGCTGTGTCTCCTCCTCTGACTTCCCTCTTCCTTTGTTTCACAAATAGCGGATATGACCATTGTCACAGCCACGAGGCCAGGAAGATACTGGACATGGATCGGGGTGGGTTGCAGGATGGACCCTGGCTGGTCTAAGGCTTGTTAGCTTGGTTCTGAGGGCTATCTAGGGAATGAACTCGGCTCCAGGTCCCAGTGCTGAGTTCAGGAATGTCTTTGGCCCCGTTCTAGTGATCCTGGGGGAGGCGGTGCTGAAGGCAGTGAGTCAGGGTTATATGCAAGCCTGAATGAACTACCCGTTACTAGAAACCTATCCTCACGTGGTGCTTGTGTAATCCTGCCTCTGCTCTGGAGGAGGTGGTCCCTGGCCTAGCTCCAGGCCTGGGTGTTTAAGGTCAGCTGGGAGGGCGATCCTTGGGCTTCTCAGAGATCTCAGGTGAGCTCTACTCTCTCATGGTACCCCGCCCACAAGCCACCCCTGCCCCTCACCCCCCACACCAGGTGAGAACGTTGGGGTCCAGAAGTTATCAAGTTTACTGTTCCTGAACTCTCTGCCAGGAACCGTGAGCGTGCCGACTCCCTTATCTATCATTTAGATCAGCCAGTCTGGAACCTGGCCGAACTTCAGTCAGCGGCTTTAAGGCCCCCAGTTCCTTTTCCTGGATGATACAACTGAATCAAGCAATGGTCGGATCTCACAGTAGATGAGCACAGGGCAAAACTGTCCAAAGTGGACAGACTAAGCAAACGGTACCCATTAACAGAATGGTTGGCTGAGCCGGGCCTGGTCCTGCACATTGGTTTTCCCATTAATCGGAGCCAACTATGGATATATATCAATATGGTGCTTGTGAGTCCATTAAAAACTAGTAGCAAAACATCTGGAAAACTCTAAGTGCTCAGTAACTGTGATCTGCTGCTACTATCATCATCATCACCACCATCATCACCATCATTAACACCATCATCATCATCATCACCATCATCATCATCATCACCATCATCATCACCATCATTATCATCACCATCCATACCCCCATGGTCCTGCACATTGGTTTTCCCATTAATCTGAGCCGACTATGGATATATATCAATATGGTGCTTGTGAGTCCATTAAAAACTAGTAGCAAAACATCTGGAAAACTCTAAGTGCTCAGTAACTGTGATCTGATGCTACTATCATCATCATCACCACCATCATCGCCATCATCAACACCATCACCATCATCATCACCATCATTATCATCACCATCATCATCACCATCATCATCACCATCATCATCATCACCATCATCATCATCATCATCATCATCATCATCGTCATCGCTGTGATGTGCCTCTCCCCTCGTTGCAGCCCCAGCACTTAACACTTGGCATCTGGCAGGTATTCGACAATGACATTTGATGACAATATAAAATGAGCAGTACTACCTGTTGCCCTCTCTGTCTCCCAGGATGCTTCAGCTCTTCTTCCTTGAAATATATGTTTCCAGGTAAACCTAACTTTCCCCTCCCCCTTTTCCACCCTGGCTGCCCCAATCCCTCTCTTGCTCATCATCCTGCTTTATTTTCTTCATTGCACTTATAACTCTGTGATATTTCCCTTTTCTACTTACTTACTGGAATACATTTGTCTCTCTCTTACCCTGCTCTGCACATCCATAGATTATTAGCTCTAAGAGTGCAGGGTTCTTGTCTGTCTTATCTACAGCAGTATCTTAATGCCCAGGATCTTGACTAGTGGTAAATTGAACAATGAACGTTGAACAAATGAACCAACACAGCAGCTCCTGTTGAGTACCCGGTTCCACTCCACACACCCACCCACCCCCCCACCCCAACTCATGCACCATTACCTCTCGGATCCTCTTCTGCCATTCCTCGATGAATTCAGGAGAGCTGGTATTCACTTGGCTGGCATCGAATGTCCACTCAGGGCACTTCCAGGTGGGAAGAGAGAGCATGGCCAGGGAGGGTGCCACAAAAGCAAATGTCCCTCCCTGAAGAATGGGCAACCTGGAGGAGGGGAATGGATGCAGTTACCCACATGATCCTTTAGCACTGGTCTGTCACTGGCCCCAACCAGGAGCCTTTTAATCCCAGGTCCTACTCCAGGTAAGAGGCAACATATGACCCCTGCTCTCCTTAGTATACATGGACTTCCTGCCAAGCCCAAGTCAGACCCATGAACCCTGCCAAACTTTGGGTGGGTAGGAGAGGTGGGGAGGGGAAAGACAAGCAGACCTAACCCTCTCAGAGATGCAAGCCCAGGAGGAGAGAGTCAGACATTGGGAAATGATTTGGAGACAGTGCAGGGCTCAGCAAACACGCCCAGTGGGTGCTACCGTCTACCCCTGTCCTGCTGGATCTTCCCCAGGACTGAAGCACAGCTCACACATGTGACGTCCTCCCACCAACAAGAGATGCACAGCCTAGAATCTGGGTTGCCAAATTCCCCTGCGTCTTCAAAAATGAACTGCCATCCCAGACAGAACAGGTTACAGGTCAATTATCAGGACGTGCGCCCCAGCCAGGCCCTTCATCTCACTCCGTGAGAACTTCTGGTACTGCCCACCTGACTTGCCCTCCCTCCCAGGTGAACACAGCCTGGTACGTCAGCCTCCAACAATCCTCTTTCTGGAAAGTCAGAGGCTATCAAGCCTAACCTACTCTGCCTGCCCTGAACATTGAAATTTGGAGGTGGGGAGCGGAACAGAGGGACCCCGGCATCTTGGTTGCATCTGTCACTATGGCACACTCAGTTCAGATACTTTTTCTTAACAATACCAGAAGGGCGTTTCTGAACTTGAGATTTCAAAAAGACATCTTAAGGTTATTCTTGAGAACGCCTGGGCACATTTTATAGATGAAAACATATGAAAGTTTATAGAAGAGTTTTGCTGCCTAAGTGGACGTCGTGTCCTGGCTGAGCGCTGGAATCGGCGACGCCTGGGCTTCCCCACTCCCCGCCCCAGACGCGTCAGTGAGCTTGTCTAGGAGGCACCAGGCACGGGAAGTGTCAAAGCTCCAGGTGATTCTAACGTGCAGCCAGGGCTGAGGACGACTGATCTAGATTCATAAATCTAGACCCATAAAGCCCCCAAACGGAATGGAATACATTGCAAACACACAAGGCAGGAACGTGTGGGTGGTGGTAGGGATATGCGTGAATAATATTTTTTAATTTAAAAACTGTGAGTCTAAGTATCTTGATGGAAAAGGAAAACATGCTGCATTTATATCATTGCAAA